TTTGAACCCAATGATGATTTTGAGTCAGAAAGCTTAATTGCACCTGAATCACCTTTCAGCCTAGGACTGAATCTAGGGCCAGAAGCCAAAGCCCCAATCAAAAGGCTAACAATCAACACTTGAATTCTGGGCTCGAGGAATATAGCACAGTAGCAGACTCTGTGCTTGGCACTTGTGAAACTCTAAGCTCTATGCTCAGTATTCCCCCCACAAAAGAAAAAAAAAAAAAAAAACCACCTTGAATTGTATGTTGAACTGGTAAATCAGTTTACAATTTGAGTGATTAGGAAAATACATTTTTTATAATTCTTTCAATTCTTTCTGGTGGAAGAGGTTCCACCAGAAGACACTATTGTGTACTATGTCAGAAAGAAAAGGACTCCTAGCTTGGTGTGGTAGCATACACCTGTAATCCCAGCTACTCAGGGAGGATGAGGCAGGAGGATGGCAAGTTTGAAGCCAGCCTAGGTAACTTGGTAAGACCACATCTCAAAATAAATATAAAACAAACCTGACACGGGGGCACACATCTGTAATCCCAGCAACTCAGAAGGCTGAGGCAGGAGGATAGCAAGTTCAAAGCCAGCCTGGGCAACTTAGCTGTAAAAAGTAAAAACAGCTGAGAATGTGGCTCAGTGGTAAAGTGCCCCTGGGTCTAATCCCCAGTACTAGCAAATAAATAAATAAAGTATAAAACAACAGGGCTAGGGGTGTAGCTCAATGGTAGAACATGCACAAAGCCCCAGTACCACAAAAAATAAAAATCACTCACTACTAAGTCCTTTTTGATAGAATAAATGTACTAGCAAAGTCCTGTTTTCATGTCTTGTAAAGGGAGTTTCTTGGTCAGAATATATTTGAAGAAAGGGTAATAGCAAAAAAAAAAAAAAAAGTTTGAAAACTATTTATGTAGCCTAACCCCCACTTCAATACTCTGGGATGGATCTGGGCAGAGCTCATCTCCTTACTACAGTTCATTGTTTTTTAAGAGGCCATAAAAACTGGGCACATATCTCAGTGACTCCAGGGGCTGAGGCAGGAAGATCACCAGCTTAAGACCAGCCGGTGCAACTTAGCAAGATCATGTTTCCAAAAAAAAGTGGATGAGGGTGGGCATGGTGGTGCATGCCTGTAATCCCAGTGGCTGGGGAAGCTGAGGCAGGAGAATTGCAAGTAAGTTCAAAGCCAGCCTCAGCTTTAGCGAAGGCCTTAAGCAATTTAGCAAGACCCTGGGGATGTAGCTTGATGGCTGAGTGCTCCTGGGTTCAATCCCCAGTACTTAAAAAAAAAAAAAAAAAAAAAAGATACTGTAGAAATTCATCTCTGAGTTGGCTAACAGTTTAATTATAGATAACTTCATTCAAGGTTATTTTAAGAGGCTTCAGATATGCTCCTTGGCTCAGCACAGTAGGGACAAGATCTTGCCCTGTCACTTCCAGGTATAGGTAGCTACAAACAACTGTCTCAAATAAGAGCAGCTAAGAGCATTTGAGAAAATTCTAAACCTTAGAAAAACTTAGCTTATTTTGTTTTCAGCCAGCCAGCTGGAGCCTATAGGGTTTTGAAATAAATAGGAAAGAGTGGGTCCTGGAAGGAACTTCATAAGCCATCAACTTAGTTTTGTGGGATTTTTTTTTTTTTTTTTTTTAGTTGTAGTTGGGCATTTATTTATCTTTATGTGGTGCTGAGGATGGAACCCAGTGCCTCACATGTGCTAGACAAGCACTCTACCGCTGAGCCACAACCCCAGCCCATTAACCCAGTCTTTATCTTCATAGCAATATGGTTTCCTCACATCTGAATCAAAAAATGGAAGTTAAAAGTTGCCAACTTCCTGGCAGTAGATAAGGTACAGAACACTTAGGTTAGAACTCTCATTGTCTACCTGTATGGTCTTGAATCAGCTCAAGGGTCTATTACTGAAGACTGATCATCTGTTTGGAGTAGGGCTAACTGAACAAGATAATAGCTTTGGAAACCAAATTCCTGTTGTTCTTTAAATAGAAATATAGCCAGGTCACCAAAGAGAGAAAGGGGATAGAAAAGAGATGATTAATGGGAACATTTTTAATCTGTTTACATAAAAACAAACCTAAATCACCCCAATTATAGTCTCGTTCCTCAGTACTTTATCCTTCTTTCCTGCAGATAGCAGGGGGAAAACTCAACTGCCCCAAAAAATAGTAAAATAAATTTTTGTACCCCCAACGCTGAAACCCTTCCAGTCCTAATGTAGCACAACTTCACTAGGATTCTAAAAGTGCTGGTCAAAAAAATTACAAACTTCCAAAGATGTTACTAAGCTAATGCCACACTTAAGACAGAGTCATCACCTATCAATTCAAATCTAGGACTCAGCCATGCACAGTAGTGCAAACTTTGTAATCTCAGCAATTCCAGTGGCTGAGATAGGATTACAAATTCAAAATCAGCCTCAGCAATTTAGCAAGTCCTCAAGTAACTTAGACTCTGTCTCAAAAAAATAAAAATGGGGCCGGGATTGTGGCTTAGTGGTAGAGCACTTGCCTGGCATGTGAAAGGCACTGGGTTTGATTCTTAGCACCACACATAAGTAATAAGGTCTATCAACAATTAAAAAATTAGTAAATATGGGGCTGGGGTTGTGGCTCAGCAGTAGAGCACTTGCCTCGCATGTGCGAGGTCCTGGGTTCGATCCTCAGCACCACATAAAAATAAATAAATAAAATAAAGGTATTGTGTCCAACTGCCACTAAAAAATAAATATTAAAAAAAGAGACAAGTTACTATTAAAAAAATAAGTAAATAAAAAGGACTGAGAATGTGGTTTTTGAGGCAAATCTCCTGTGTTCAGTCCCCAGTAGCCAAAAAAAAAGGTAATAGAAACCTCAGGGGTTGCTCCGAAATTTCGAGATTTTTTTTTTTTTCTCATAGTTTTCTTATAGATCTTGCATCTTGTAGATCCCAGATCTGAAACAAAAGCCTTATCTCATGTGAAAATTATGTAGGAAGGGCTGGGGTTATGGCTCAGTGGTAGAGTGCTCGCCTAGCATGTGCAAGGCCCTGGGTTCAATCCTCAGCACCACATAAAAGTAAATAAATAAAAGTATTGTGTTCAACTACAACTAAAAAATAAATATTTGAAAAAAAAGAAAATTATGTAGGAAAACTTAAAGTCAAGATTTGTCTTGAAATTTCCCAAGATGGGTACAGGTTGTCTCAGCTCTGTTTCTTGGTGTGGTCCTGGGATTGAACCCAGAGACACTTTACCACCAAGCAACATCCCTATCCCTTTTATAAATTTTGAGACAGGGACCAAGTTGCTATAGCTGTCCTGGAAGTTGGGATCCTTCTGCCTCAGCCTGCAGAGTCCCTGAGATTGCAAGCATGCACCATTAGGCCCAGCCCCCACCCCCCCTTTTTTCCCCTATCTACAAAAAAAAACAAGTCTCAAAGCCTGGTGCCCACACACCAACTCAAGGCAACTCAGGAGGTTGAGGCTGGAAGATCCCAAGTTCCAAGCCACAGTCAGCAATTTAGAGACCCTCAGCAACTTAGTGCGATCTTGTTTCAAAATTAAAGTCTGGGGTGTAGCTCTGTGGTAGAGCACAAATTCAATCCCTGGTACCAAAAAGCTAAATCTCTCTCATATGTGCTTTTCTTCATAAGACTACTTGGTCTCCATAAAATTGGGAGGAAACTTTTGATGGTTACTTTTTTTTTGGGGGGTGGGGGTTACTGGGAATGGAAACCAGGGGCACTCTATCACTGAGCTACATTCCAAATTCTTTTTATTTTGAAACAGATCTCCCAAAATTGCAGAGACTGGTCTTGAATTTCCAATCCTCTTATCTTGGCCTCCTGAGTCACTGGGATTATAAACATGCACCACACCTGGCAATGGTTACTTGTCCACAACTTCAACTGGGTTCTTTAAAGAAATCAGTTTGAGGACTGGGGTTGTAGCTCAGTAGCGCTTGCCTAGCGTGTATGAGGCACTGGGTTTGATCTTCAGCACCACATAAAATCAAACAAAGATATTATATCCATCTACAACCAAAAATATTTAAAAAAAAAAAAAAAAAGAGTTTGACCACAGCCAATTAAAACACAGTGAGTACAGCAAGTATAAAATTCCAGCAAAGGCTTAAAATTTTGTTTTCCCCTTTTCAGGACCACCTTCTAGAGCTGGGGATGTAGCTTAATGGTAGAATGCTTACATATGACAAGCCCTGGGTTCAAATCCCAGCAAAAATAAAAGACTACCTTATACCCAGGCATCTACCTGGGAAGTGGAGGTTGAGGTAGGAGGTTTCCAAGTTCAAGGCCTGGGCCATTTAGTAAGACCCCCTTCTCAAAAAGGGGATATAGCCCAGTGGTAGAATGTACTTGTGATCAGTCCCCCTTACCATCAAAATCAAACCAACTTCTATCATTAAGTGTAGCCTTTGGGAGAATAGGGTAGGAGCAGGGAAGACAGCCTACACAGCGTACATTTTCTTTTCCCAACTCTGTAATGAGCTATTACCATTTAACAGCCATAGAAAGCTTAAAGAAGGCTGGCCTATAATCTCAAGGAGGGAGCCAACTGTTGTAAAGTGCACCTGGGTTCAAACCGCAGTCCCCCACCAAAAAAAAAAAAACCATGCATCCATCCACTCCACTAGGGCTTGAAACACAAAATATTCTTTTGAAAGAATACTATCCTTAAATGCCATTTCCTCAGATATAAGACAATCTCAAACTTCTCTGCCATGCGTTTAACATGGACAGCTGTTGCAGGAAAGGTAAAAAGACTCAAGAGTACTCTAATGGCTAGTTCCATAGAAATTTGACTTTGAAGACTCACTCTCACCAACCTGGTCACCTGACCCAATTAATAGGCCACCTTCAATCTTGTTATTTGAACAAATTGTACTTCACACACATATACATCTCCAACAGATTTATTTTTTAAAGGAATGGATTGAGAGAAAAAAACATGGGGCACAGAAGTATGGAATAGAAAATAAATACAAATGTAAGCTGTTTTGCTAATTGTTTTATAACCACAACAAACTAGTACAGAGAATGCCCTGTACAAAACACAATAAATGTTCAAAGATCAAGCTGTTCCCTTAGCAAGGCTAAAGATTTCAGTCTCTGGTATTTGGAATTTAGGCTGCAGTCCTTATTTTTGGATGGATCACTGGTGTATGGCACAGTCCATGCTTTTAACCAGATTTGAACAGAAGAATGGCCACTTGGCCCAGGTAGAAGTAGATGAAGTGCTTGGTTTCGTGTGTCACGTAACTACCGAAGTTCCTCCCCACAATGCAGTGCCAGGTGGGGTTGTACTTCTTGTCAAACTCCTGGGAAAAAAAGAAAAAAAAAAAAAAAAACTAGAATTTTAGTTCTAAACCAGAACCTGTAGGAGCAGAAAGGAAGAACAACAGCATCTGCAAATTCTTAGAATGAAAGAATGAATGTTCCCTAGCTCCAAGTCGCCCACATAGTACATTAATGCAAACATGCTTGCAGTCTGAGCCAAGATGGGAATGGGAGCTGAGGCGGCCAAAGTCAGAAAGGTCAGCCTCAAAGACAGGGTGCTTTGTTATAATGATAATTACACCTTCCTATCTTCTATAATATTCTTAACTCACTGACAGCAGGTGACATCAGCAGTTATACTTCATTATATTCTCTGGGTAAACAGACCTAAATTGTCCTCCCACTACATTTGCCATGCATCCAAAAAAAAAAAAAAACTTAAAAAATTGAGCCAGTTTCAAAAGATTCTTAAGATTCTTAACTGCACTCCCGCACTACTATAAACAAGACTTCCAAAGGACAAAGCTTCAATTAGCAACTAAACCAAACAAGCGCAGATCAAAATTTAGATTTAAGGGGATAAGATTCTATGAAAAGAATGTTGGCAGCTGGTCAAATTTTATCTTTAATCAGAACTTAAACTACCTCCCCCCAAAAAACAACAACCAAAAACCTCCTTTCCATAGCTATATGATGCTAAACCTATTACCTGGTCCTCAAGGTTAGCAACTCTTCCCTATTTCTCCCACTCCAAAAGGCATTGGGACTAGTATACCTGTGCCAACTTCTTCACTAAACTAATGTGTAGGCAAAGACCAAATATAATCTCTATAAATTATTAAAATTCTTTTTATGGTGAGTTAACAAAATTTAGCTTCTATTGCATGCAGTGTGAAAACCTCTGTTAGGTCTACTAAGGAGACTATCTGTCCTACAAGCTAGATGCACATACTGCTGCGTTTGTCAATAAAGATATTGATTTCTGTTCCATCTTAAGTCTTTCATCTTCCATTCTCCACTGGAAGGGAATCTTCCCAGGCTTAGGCTGCCAGCTTCCTTCTCTTCTAGCAAAAGGTAGCTCGAGAAGTCGGCAGTCCTGCCAGGTTTCTGACTACCACGTACCAAACCCCTACCTACCCCAGGCGCCAACCACTATCACCACCCACTTGCCTTAACTGCCGACTAATTCCCCCTGGAAGACTGGCAAGATCTCCCTCTGGCCGGGCTGCAAGCACCCACGCAGCTCCCCCCTCCGGAACACCCAGATGGATCCCCGGTGCAGGAATCCTACAGAAGGGGGAACCGCTCGCTGCTCCCTGATCTTGGAAACCGTTGCTAGGTGGCGCTTTCCCCCAAGGAGATGGGTAATTAAAAAAAAAAAAAAAAAAAAAAAAACTTGGGGCTCTGAGGGTCTGGTCTTCCCAAGAGAAGCGCAAAATCCATTTGCGTTCTTTCCAGAAATCTCTACGCCCCGAACCCTAAGAATCTCTCCTAGATGCCTTGAGGACGCAGGATCGGGAGAAGGAACTAAGTTATGACGCGCGCCAGGTCCTCACCTTCTTGATGTGGGCCGCAATATCCTTTTCTATATTATATTTCTCCAACGCCTGAGTAGCGCACTCCACCGAATCCTGTTGCATCTCTTCCGACATGTCCGCATTTTTTATCACCGCCTTTCTGTCGCACATGGTTACCTGGGGGACAAGGACGGCGAAAGGAGTCAGGGAATAGGGTCCCGGGAGCGCCTCTGAAGCGCCGGTTCCCCACCCCCGGCCCGCGCCATCCCGGGACGCCGCCCCCACCCCACTTTTCAGGAAACGCGGATCGCGCGGACCGCACAGGGAGGGAAGTCCAGCAGGTGGGGGTGAAGCCAGGTGGCGGGGACGCCTGAGTCTCACCGTGGGGGCAGCGGCTGGGCGACTGCAACGGTCTCCTGAGGGAGGTGCTGGCGCAGCTCAAGCCCAGACGGAGTTGCTATCGCTACCGAAGCCGTGGCGCATCTAAGCAGCCCCACGCCAGCCGCCGCCGCCTAGTGCTCAGGCCCCGCCCTGCTCCCGCCGGCCCCGCCCCCACCGCACGTCCCTATTGGCTTAACGCAGCCTCCATAATTCTCCCATTGGCCCAAGGACTCAATGGTTCCCTCAGGATCTTTCGCCTGCATTTTGTTGCAGACCACAATGCACCGCTCACGGCGTCGGTTGCCCTGGCAATGGGCTGGCGCACGAGGTGAGGCCCACACACCCGGAAGGTGGAGCCTGGGCTAGGTGGAGAGGACCGCCAGCTGTCTGGAGAGCTGCAAGGGGAGCTTTTGCCCTAGCCAAGCGAGGTGATTCAAAATTCACAGAGGGCGTGTTGTCAAACTTGACAGCCTCAGGAAATTGGGTGGCCACCTCCCCATGTCCCTCCCACCCCCACCCCAGATCAGAAAAATTTACGGATTTTGAGGAGGCCTTCCCTTCACTGAATGGATATCTGTGAAGCAGGGCCGGCTTCTTGGGAAGCCCACGGTGCAGTCGCACAGAAGAGGTTCTCGTGCGTGGTTTAATACTCTGCTGTCTCATTCTTGAAATTTAGTATTTAAACAAGGGGCCCCACATGTCCATTTTGCACTCGGCTCCCTGTGTCGTCGATCCTGCTCTGAAATATTTGTTGTGCGGAGGAGGGTTGGGGACAGTCTCAGGACTGAAGGAGGGTTTCAGGAAGGAAATGAGTTTCTTTCTGAATTAAGGAATTTCCTCGGGAGTGGGGTCTCTCTGCCAGGCAATGCAGACTTAATTTAAGGGGCTCAAGATGGATTTAGGAGGGCTGGGGATGTTACTCAGTGGTAGTACACTTGGCTGGCATTTACGAAGCCGAGGGTTCGACCCCCCACCACCACCCTATTCCATACCGCAATAAAAAGAGGGGTGTGTGTGTGAAAATTCCAGGTGGATTTGGAGTGTTGAGCCTTGAGGTGTTTCCAGAGAGGGGCTACTTGGCTCCATTAATGGAGACTTTCTTGTGTAGGAGAGTTTCTTGGTCGGATCCTAATGGACAAGAATGGGGTCCTCAGAGGTGTTTCTTGGCTTAGGGAGACTGAGCACTAAGAAAATTCTTGGGGCTGAGAATATAGCTCAGTGATAGAGCCCTGGATTGGAAACCCAGCGCAGCAAAAATAAAGCTCAACATGGTGGCACTGGTCTCTAAATCCCAACATTTAAAAGACTAAAGCAGAAAGACCAAAAATCTGTTTAAGGCCAAACCAGGGTGGTGGCGCACACCCCTAATCCAAGCAGGGAGGCTAAGCCAGGAAGACAATTGGAGGCCAGGCTCAGCAATTTAGGGAGACCTCAAAGTAAAAAATAAAATGAAGCCAGGTGTGGTGGCCCATGTCTCTAATCTCAGCAACTCAGGAGGTTGAGGCAGGAGGATCCCAAGTTCAAAGTCCACTTTAGCATCCTAAGGAGACCCTCAGCAACTTAGTGAGATCCTGTCTCAAAAAAATAAAATAAATAAAAAGGTTTGGGAATGTACCTCAGTGATAAATCGCCCCTGGGTTCGATCCCCAGTACAGAAATAATAATTTTAAAAGTTTGAGGCCAGTCTGCACATGCCTGTAATCTCAGCTACTAGGGAAGCTAAAGGCCAAGGCCAGAGGATCATGAGGTTGAGGCTAGCTTCAGCAGAGTAAGAAGACCCTGTCTCCAAAATAAAAAGAACTGGGAATGTAACTCCATGGCAGAGCACTTGCTTATTCTGCATGAGGCCTTAGATTCAATTTTCAGTACTGCCTAAATAAATAAATTGCAAGGGTGCCTGGCTCAATGGCCTACACCTGTAATCCCAGCAACTCAGGGGACTGAGGCTGGAGGATCTCAAGTTCAAGGCCAGCATCAGCAATTTAGGAAGGCCCTAAGCAATTTTGTGAGACCCTGTCTCAAAATTAAAAATACAAAAAAGGCTGGGGATTTGGCTCAGTGGTAAAGCACCCCTGGGCTCAATCTCCAGTACCAAATAATAAATAAATAGCAAGGACTTCAAGAAAGTGGTCAAATCTAGACCTGAATCCCAGCACTGCATTATGTATAATTTTAATACACCAATAAAAAATAAACTTAAGAACTATCTGAACCTCTGTTTAAATCTGTAATAAGAAACTAAATGTAAAAGGAAACCACTTCATAGGCTTGTTGGGATTATTAATGAACTAATGCTTTTAAATTCTCAGCACCGCATGTAGGAAGTAACTACAAGTTATTGTCAGTTTAAAAAACAGTCCCAGTCAGACACAGTGGCACAGGATAATGATGCCAGTGACTCAGGAGGCTGAGGAAGGAGGATTGCAAGTTTGAGGCCAGCCTCAGCAATATAGGGAGGACCTAAGCAATTTATCAAGAACCTGTCATAAGGTCTGGGGATAGAGTTCAGTTGGTACAGTGCTTGCCTTGCAATGCATAAGGCCCTGGGTTTAATCCCCAGTGAGCTCGCACTCACGCGCGCGCGCACACACACACAAAAAATGTTTTAAAGATTTAAAAAAGGCTGAGGATGTAGTCTTGTGGTAAGGCCAAGTGTTGTTTTGTTTGTGTTTTTTTTTTGTGTGTGGTACCAGGGATTGAACCTAGGGGCACTTAACCACTGAGACATATCCCCAGTCCTTTTTATTTTGAGACAAAGTCTTGCTAAATTACTTAGGGCCTTACTAAATTGCTGAAGTTTGCAACCCTTTGCACTCACTGTTACTCCTCACAGCAGCTCTGCCTGAGACCCCTTTCCTCTTACCTCCCTCTTGGCAAAGCTATTTCCTCATGTGGACTTCAGCTCAAATGTCACCTTCCCTGAACTCCCCTCTCTCCACTTCCCCACCACCAGCTTTCAGTTATGCTCTACAACACCTGTGTGTGTGTGTGTGTGTGTGTGTGGTGCTGGGCATCTAATCTGTGGCCTCATGCATGTCAGGCAACCATTTTACCACTGAACTATGCTCCTGACTCCTCTAAAACACTTTTTTTGTGGAGGGGCGGGGATTGAGGATTGAACCCCAGGGAAGCTTTGCTTCTGAGCCACATCCCATTTATTTTTATTTTGAGACAGGGACTCACTAAGTTGCTGAGGCTGGCCTTGAACTTGTGATTCTTCTGCCTCAGCTTCCCAAATTGCTGGGATTACAGGTATGTACCACTGTACCCAGCTCTACAACACTTTTAATTCCTCCACCATATTTGCTTCATTTATTCTTTCAGGGGAATTACCTTATGTATTGGTTTGCCTAGACATTGTCTATCTGCTCCTGACTCTTTTGGTTACTAGTCCATCTTCGGCATTAATTCAGTGTCCAAGACCAGGGATGGAGCTCAGTGGTAGAGCTCTTGCCTAGTATTTGCAAGGTTCTGGGTTCTAATCCCTAGCTCTGGGGGAAAAAAAAAGAAAAAATTCAGTTTCTGGCACATAACAGATACTCAATAAATAGACTGAATTTAAGAAGTCAAATAGTATGTCACCATCTTACATATTAGAAAATTGATTTCCAAGGACATGCTGTTAATAAATGAAAGTTCATGTATGGATTACTCTAAAATCCATTCTCTAAACTTGGGTATTATATTCATACATTTAGCAGAGTAGGCAGTTTGCCTTTTTCTTATTTATAACTTTGAAGGAGTTTGAAATGGAATGATGGTAAGGTTTTCTAAAACATAACAGGATTTCATTTAATAAAGGATGCTAGGTATTTCTCAGTTGTGACTCCTGCCCTTTCCTGACATCTGTGTTTATACTGCTCATTCTCAACCAGCTCTTAGCCTGAAAGAAAGTGCCATCAGAAACCAGGGCCTCCTTGGCCTATGTTAGTCCCCATTTGGGGAGGGGGGATTGTCCAGCTAATTTGGAGGGAATTTTTTCAGGAACCAAAAGCATTTCTACCTTTTTCATACCTTTATCAATCACTTCTGTAGATTGGTTCATTATTTATCTACCCACTCTGAGTAAGGCAGGCAGCAAATATCTCCTGATTATCACAGAAAAGTACTGTGCTGCATTTGAATGCTTGAAATTTGTGTCTAAAATCAGTCACAATCCCCTCCATAAAGAGCTTCTAGTCAACAATAAATTAATCCTTTTAGGGGCTGGGGCTGGGGCTCAGTGCAATGTGCTGGGTATGATCCTAAGCACCATATAAAAATAAATAAATAAAATAAGGGTATAAGAAAATCACAATATCTTTTAAAAAATTAATCCTTTTGGTATCTTAGGTTTGGGTGTTTTAAGGAAGTTTAGAAATATAGGGATTTAGCATTAATAAGGAAGGCAAGTGGCATAATAGGGAGTGGTAGGGAGTGTGGTAAGTTGAAAAACCCTTTTCAATGGTGCCAGATATATTTTGCCATTTTGGAATGCTGGCCCTTTGATTTTAAAGAGAGATTAGTAATCTCAATTATTTTCATGGGAAATACTCCATTTTACTTTATTTTATTTTGGTACTTGAGATTGAACCTAGGGGAAATTAACCACTGAGCCACATCTCCAGCCATTTTTATTTTTTATTTTCAGATTTTGAGATAGGATCACAATCACAATAAGTTGCTTAGGGCCTCACTAAGTTGCTGAGGCTGGCCTTGAACTTGCAGTCCTTCTGCCTCAGCATCCTGAGTCACTAGGTTTACAGGCCTTTGCCACTGGGCCCAAGTAAATACCCATATTTATTTGCCTATTTGTTTCCTTATTTATGAGAAAAAAAAAAAAGCTTGCTAGCAAAGGAAAAACACAGGGACCTCAAGGCCCAGAGGCTGTGATTCTGCCCATCATAGAGGAGAGGGTTTTTGTTTGTTTGTTTTTTGTACTAGGATTGAACACAGGGAGGCTTAACCACAGAGCCATATCCCCACCCTTTTAATATTTTATTTAGAGACAGGGTCTTGCTGAGTTGCTTAGGGCCTCACTAAATTGCTGAGGCTGGCTTCAAACTCCCAATCCTCCTGCCTCAGCCTCCTGAGCCATTGTGATTATAGGTGTTGCACCACTACACCCACTTG